GAAAGCCAGTTACCAAATAAAACGGATAGAAAATTAATAGCAGAGTTAGAAATGTTTTACGACAATCATTATAATGCTGAAGTTTTCGATTTTTCACAAAAAATGTCAATGTGCGATTTAGAATCAAAAAGTAAATTATATTTTGAATATTTAGAAGAGTTGACCAAAAAAGCAATAAATATAACACCCAAAACGTTCAAAGACAAAATAGGTTCAAATAATTTTAATTTAGTAATAAGGGAATCAATAGAATTTTTTTTAATCCAAAATTTATTTCATTTGTAAGTGTTAGAATAATTTTAAAAAAAAGAAATAAGGCTTATTTATTAATTAAATTTATAGTTTATTCCCTATAGATTTTGAAAAAGACGCACAGTTTTCAAAAAGAATCGAATCATTAAGGTTTTTAGAGCTAAAGCATCTAGGCATTCAAAATGGGGATGAAACTCAGTTTACAAAATCATTATGCACAACTTTATTAAAAATCAACATTTATCAAACACCATTAGATAAACAAAGATGCTTATCAAGAGTATTAGTAAAGTTATTAAAGTTAAATGGCGGTGAAGAAACTTTATTACCAAATTTAATTTATTTAATTTTAAAATCAAATCCTCCAAATATTTGGTCAAATTATAAATTTTTAGAATATTTCAAAGATAATGTTAGTAATAATAGTAGTGGCGCCGACAGCAATCAAAATTCAATTTATGAATATTCCTATTTATTATTTTCGACAGCTATTCAATTCATAGAAAAGTTAGATTATAATCATTTACAAATAGATTCATTATATTTTCAAACTAAATTATTAGAATATCAACAAATAAATTTAAATCAAGATAATAATAATAATAACCCTCAACAAGATATTGGCCAAGATCAAATTATAAATTCAACTAGTGTATCAATTAAAACATTTTCAAATTTATTAATAAATGATTCAAATAATGAACAGCTTCAACAAAAACAAAATGGTGAGATGGAAGTTGACGAAGAGGAGGTTAAATTTAAATTATTTAAAGAAAACAATAGAATTCAAAATATTATCGAAATTTGTAAAACTCAAATTAATGAAAATGAAATTGAAGAGATTTTATTAAAGTTTATATCAATCTCATTAATTAAAGAGAAGCCATCATACCATTCTTTAATTAGATATTCATTAAAAAGATTTTTCATATACTATTTAGGTATTGAACCAAGATTGTTTTTATCAACTGAAATGCATACAATCGGTGCTCTTCAGGATGACCATACTCCAAGTGAATTAGAAGTTTTGCCACAGCCTCAACAAGGAGGTGATAGTTTGGTGCCAACTTCTACCTCAACAAAAGATAAGGCGATTAAAACTGGTAAAATCGTTGGTGCTGCGGTTACTGGTGCAGTGCTAGTAGGTTTAACTGGTGGTTTAGCTGCTCCATTTATTGGTACTGTTTTAAACTTTGTAGGTGCTGGTAGTATTGTTGCGGGTATTAGCGGTGCAACTGGTCTAAGTAGTGCTACAATGTTATCAGTAATTTTTGGTGCAGCTGGTGCTAAGGTAACTGCCGATAAAATGATATCTGCTACAAGTGGTGTAAAAGATTATTCAATTCATAAAATCAAAAGCCAAACATCACTTCATGCTATTATTGGTATTTTCGGTCTTTGTAACGATGTAAATCAAGAGTATTACCAAACCAAATCAATCTGGGATAGGGTAATCAGATCAGTCACTGATGACTACGGTGATATTTTCTTAATCGAATGGGAAAAAGATGTTATTTTAAAACTTAAGGCTATCGTATCCGAGTATCAGGGAACAATTGTGCAAGGTATAGTGAGATCTGCTGCAACCAATATTATTTCACAAAGTTTAGCATCGGCTCTTATTCCACTTTCAGTATTAAAGGCTGCTTCAGTTTTGGATAACCCATGGTCATTACTCAAAGATCGTTCAGAAAAAGCAGGTAAACTTTTAGCTCAACAAATAGTTGATGGTTATTTTGGTAATAGACCATTGACATTGGTTTCGACATCAATGGGATCAAGAATGGTATTTTATTGCCTTGAGGAGCTTTACAGCCAATCTCACAATAATCCAAATATATTTTCATTAATCGAGACAGTGGTTTTCATTGGTTCACCAATCACATCAGATCCAAGCCGTTGGTCAAAGATTTTAAAACTCATTAGCGGAAGAGTTATCAACTGTTATACTCCAAAAGATCTCTTGTTAAAATATGTTTGTCGTTCAATTAATTGCTTATCCGATGGTATATTACCTGCCGCTGGTGTAGCACCAATTCATATTCCCTCTTCTAATTTGGTCATCGAAAATGTTGACCTTTCAAATTTAATTAAAAGTCATTTGGATTATGAAAAAGAAGAAATATTATCTAAAATTTTACAACATATCGATATTAATAATATAAATTATTGTAAACATAAAGTATCACCATTATTTAGTGGATTAGTTTATGATGTTTAATATACAAAATATATAAAATAGTCACACAAAAATAAATAAAAAAATTATAATTTCTAAAAAAAATAAATTATAATTATAATTTTAAAAAAAAATAATTAACTCTAAATATTATTTATAAAGTCTTTTTTTTTTTAAAAAAAATAATAAAAAAATAATATTTATTAATCTATAAAATATTATTTAATAAATTATCATCTGTATGGTTTGGAATTGTAACTTTTAAGAGTGGATTAATTTTCATAGCTCTTTGGATTGTAGTTTCGGCATTATCATTGTATGACCAAGATCTTCTTGCTATACCATTATTTACATCCCAGCCTAACATTAATTTCGCTTTTTCTTCTTGTTTCTTTGAGCCATCTAAAACCATACCAAAACCACCATTTATAGCTTCACCCCAACCTGTACCACCTCCATTATGAATTGATACCCAGGTGGCTCCTCTAAATGAATCACCAATAACATTATGGATAGCCATATCAGCACAAAATTGTGAACCATCGACAATATTTGAAGTTTCTCTCCATGGTGCATCGGTACCACTAACATCGTGATGATCTCTACTAATAACAACTGGGGCTGAAAGTGTTCCATCAGCAACAGCTTTATTAAAGGCAACAGCCAATTCTACACGACCAATGCAATCGCTATAAAGAATACGGGCTTGTGAGCCAACAACTAACTTGTGTTCACCAGCTTGACTGATCCATAAATGATTATCGTTAAATTGTTGTTCAACATTCTTTGGTACATCTTCAGCAGAACGAAGTTTTTCGATGAGTTCTCTTGCAATACGATCAGTGGTTTCAAGATCTTCTGGTTTACCACTGGTACAAACCCATCTAAATGGACCAAAACCTAATGAGAAAATATCACCCATAATATCTTGAACATATGATGGATAGAGGAATTCCTTACCTTCACTATTTGGTTTAATAATATCGGCATTAGCTCTTGAAGCCTCTAAGAGGAAACTATTACCATAATCCCAGAATTTCATTCCACGTTTAGATAATTTATTAATTGCATCAGTGTGTCTTCTAAGGGTTTCTTGTACCATATCTTTAAATTTAGCTGGTTCTTCGACCATAAGACGATTTGACTCCTCAAATGAACATTGAACTGGGTAGTAACCACCATTATATGGGTTGTGTAATGAAGTTTGATCTGAACCTAAATCTATATGAATATCGCTCTCGACTAATTTTTCCCAAAGAGTAACAATATTTCCTTGATATGCGATACTAAGTGGTTTCTTTTCTTTGACGGCTTCTTTAACACGAACAAGTAATTCGTCTAAATCTTCATAAACTTGCATAACCCAACCTTGATTGTGTCTCTTCTTTACAGCAGCTGGGTTGACTTCAGCTACAATACAAATAGCACCGCAAATATAGGCTGCTTTAGTTTGAGCCCCACTCATACCACCTAAACCAGAAGAAACAAAAAGACGACCTCTTAAATCATCAATACCTAAATACTTTCTACCAGCGTTTAAAAGAGTAATAGTTGTACCATGAACAATACCTTGTGGTCCAATATAACAGTAACTACCAGCTGTCATTTGACCATATTGGGAAACACCCTGTGCATACATTTTTTCATAATCTAATCTTGATGAATAATTTGGAATAACCATACCATTTGTAACAATAACACGTGGTGATTGTTCATTACTTGGGAATAAACCCATTGGATGGCCACTGTACATTGCAAGGGTTTGTTCATCAGTCATCTCTGATAAATATTTCATTGCTAAATGATATTGTGCCCAATTTTGAAATACTGAACCATTTCCACCATAGGTAACTAATTCGTGAGGGAATTGTGCAACTTCTTTATCTAAATTATTCATTATCATTAACATAATTGATGCTGCTTGTTTAGATTTGGCTGGATACCAATCAATTGGATATGCTTTCATTTCATATTGTGTTGGTCTAAATCTGTACATATAGATGTGTCCATATTTATCTAATTCCTCTAAAAATTCTTTTGCTAAAACTTCATGATATTTATTTGGGAAATATCTTAATGAATTTCTAATTGCTAACTAATTTTATAATAATTAGAAAAATAATTTTTTAAAAATTTATTAATTTTAAAACCAAACAAACTATAAATAATACAGTAGTAATTACTTACTTTTTTTTCTGAAACTGATAAAATCTTTGGACGACCTGGTGCATGTGGTACACTTGAATCAATACCTGGATGTTCTGGTAATGGATCAAGGGCAATTCCTTTAGTTAAAATTGATAATAAATTTTTTGTTGGATTCATGATCTATATTACAATTAAGAAATAGTAATAAAACTGGATATTAAAATTCTAAAGTAAAATAAAAAATAAAAAATAAAAAAAAAAAAAAGAAAAAATTTAAAAAAATAAAATTTAAAAAAAATAAAAAGAAAAAAATTATAATTAAAAAAAACGAAAAATATAGGTGGAAATTTCAAAATATGGTATTAAAAATATTTATTTAATTTAATATAATAAACAAATATGATTTATTTAAATAATTTTTAAAAAATTATTTCTTTTTTTTTTATTTTATTTTATTTTTTATAATAAAAAAACTAGTTATATTACTATTATTATTTATTATTTTTATAATTATCATTATAAAATAAATAATTTTTCTAATTCCACCTACAATTCTATTGTTTTAATTAATTTTTTTGTATCTCAAACTCCAAAGGGGGGTTTAATAATTTTTAATAATTTTATTTAATTTTAAAAAAATTTTAAATTAAAAATCTGAATATAAAGTGTTTTAATTAAATAATTTTTTGTTTTATTACTGTAATTATGGTAATTAAATTAAAAATAAAAAAAATAAAAAATTATAATGGATTTTAAATATATCCAAAAACACATTTTAAAGAGCTTTATATTATTTAATAATAATTATTTCATTAATAATAATAATCATAAAAATATTGGATGTTTAAAATATTTAATTAAATCAAAAGTATATTTAGTTTCAAAATATTGGTTTAAAATTGTAAAAATAGAAGTTAACAAATCAATAGTTTTAATTAATTTTGTAGATAATTACCAAGAAATTAGGAATTATATAAATCAAATAAAAAAAATAGATTCAAAATATTCTTTATTTAATAACTATGAATTTGGTCCAAAGAAACTCACAATATCATTAACAATATATAATAACATAATAGAAAATTTAGAAAATGATTTTAATAGATACAAATATTTTGAAAATTTAAAAAAATTAACAATAGTATTAAATAATAGTAATAATAATAATAATAATAATGATATAAATTTATATAGTAATAATTATAATTTAAAATATTTATTTACAAGAATAAAAAATTTAGAAATTTTGGAATTTATAATATTAATGCCATTGGATAATTTTATGGACAATAGTTCAAGTTTATACCAATTTTTTAAATTAATTTTAAATTATTTATTATTAAATAAATGTAATGTAGATTTAAAAAAACTAAATATATTCCATAACAACACTATTATAAACAATAATTTTAAAATCAAGCAAAATTTATTTCCTATAGTGTCAAGTTTAAAAATACCAAATCTTTTCCAATAAAATGATATGTTTCCTTATTTATCATTTAATTTACAAAAAAAAATAAAAAAAATAAAAAAAAATAAAAATAAAAATTAAAAAAAAAAAAAATTATTTTAAAAAAAAATTCGAAAAAAATAGTTTTTTTCATCTTTTTTTCATTTTTTGTAATTTTTAAATTATTATTTATTATTTCTTATATATTTTCTTAAATATATATACATAATCTTATACTATGAGCCAGCCACCACAACCACCACCACCATCAGGTGCCAAACCAATACAAAGATTAAAGACTATGAAGCCATCAACACCTGGTGATATAAATAATATACCCCCATCTGCTCATGGAATAAAGATTAAAAAAGAATTCAAACCAAACGTACCAACAGTTAGAAAGAAAAAGTAAATATAAATAATTGTTTATATATTTATCTATATTTTGTTCTTTTTATATTAATATTCTTTTTGTTTTCATTTTTTTTTAGCGATAAAGATCCATTAGTATCAGGACCAATTACAGATTTAATTAATGCATCGTTAACACCATTAAATGTTGGTGAAAGACCAAAATTATCACAAGCAACATCAAAACTTAGACCAAGTTTTAATCCAAATAGAAAGAAACCAGCAGCTATACCAATGAGTAATTTATTCAGTACACCATTGGTTCAAGCAGATACGCAACAATCGTCATATGAAATTAATAAGAAAAAAGAAAAGAAAGATTCAGAACTTTTAGCACAACTTTTCCATGAAATGGAGGTCGATCCAATGCAACCATTCCACCCCACCCATTTACCATTGGTAGATCCAAGAAAAATTATGAAGGCATATTCATTAGATGATGCATCCAAAGATTTGGATGAAAAAAGAAAAGAATTAGAATTAAAGATGGCAAATGGTGAATTATCAGATCAAACCAATTTCGATTTGAATGCAAACATGTCAGATATTGGAAAGAAGAAAAAAGAACCTCAACATATAAAATCAAGACCATTCTATATAGACGACCAATTTCAAGATAAAGATAAATTATTTTTCATACAATTACCAAACTCATTACCATCAACCAAAACTAAACCAAATTTCAATATACCTTTCCCACCACCAGGTTTACTTAAACCACCTGCAGGTCAACCACAATCACAACAACCTCCTTCACAACCAATAAATGTAGATAATAATAATAACAACAACAACAACAACAACAACAATGCAAATGGTGAAAATGCAGCACCACCAACATTAGATGAAAAAACTTTTATACCAATGGTTTATCCTGGAGATTTCCCAAATACTCTCAAAGAATTGCCAAGTGGTCAATTAGGTACTCTTAAAATTTATAAATCTGGTAAAACAATTCTTAAAATTGGTCCTGTAGAGTATGATATATCTGCTGGTGATAAAATTAAATTTTTAGAAGAGGTTAATTGTTTTTCAAAAGATGGTCCAACATGCTATACTTTGGGTACACCTGCTCAACATTTAGTTGCTGCTCCAATTATTAGCGACAATCTAATTTAAAATAAAATATTTATTAAAAATATACAAACAAAATTAAAAGAAAAAAAAAAAAATATGAATTATAATGTTTATTTTTGTTTATAATCAAATTTTTATATTTTATTATATTTCTTTTTTGTTTTTTAATAATTTAAATTGATTATTATTTATGTTTTAAACTTTATTATATATTTTAATTAATTGATTCTTCGTTGAGCTCTTGACCTTCTAAATCGCCTCTATATCTAAATCTATAACCATATTTCTTCTTCTTTTTAATTTGTTCTTCACCACCTACAATAGTATAATCCAAACCTGTATATTTGTTTAAAGTTTTGTTTATTTGGTTGTATATTTTTAAAAATAAAATTAATATTTAAATAAAATATTTTTTTTTTGTTTTTTTTGTTTTTTTTGTTTTTTTTTTTTTTTACTTACCTATTTCTTTACAATAGGCAACAGCATCAGCTTCAGATGAAAATTTTAAGTTTAATTGATTAAGAGAATCTTTGGATGAACACCAACCCATTAAACGATCATTCCATTTATCTGCGAATGGTAATCCAATAACCCATTTTCTTGTGGCAAGAGTACCAGTTTGCATAGTATTTCTTGATGGTTTATAAATGATTACTGTTTGACCTCTGAAATCTACACCATTTAAAAATTCTTTAATTTGTCTTTCTTTTAAACTATCTGGAATTTTGTGAGTACCAACTGTTAAATCTTCGTTGCTAACTATTGGTGTAGCTGTTGAAAATCTTCTAGCTGAAACAATTCTATTTTGAACTGTTGGTTTTAATAAATATCTAAACATTCTATTTAAAATAAATAAAATAATTTATTATTATTGTTACTATAAAAAAAAATAAAAAATAATGAAAAATAAAAAATCAAAAAAAAAAAAAAAAATTTTAAAAAAAAATAAAAAAAAAATTATTTTTTTTCAAAAAAAATAAAAAAAAAATAAAAAAAATTATTATTAATTATTTGTTTTGTTTAAATAAACCAAATTTTTCCTTTTATATTTTTCATCATTTCTAATTTGTGAACATTTGTGAACTATAATATAAACATATAAAAGAATATTAGTATATCTTTTTGCAGCTCTTAAAATAAATATTGTCTTTTTAATCTTTTTTATCTTTTAAATTATATAATTAAATCAATCTTCTTTTTTTTTTTTAGCCAATTTCTATGAATGTAAATTAAATAACCTTTTGAAAATTAAAAAATAAAAATTAAATTTTTTAAAAATTATATATTAAAAAATAATTTAAATTTGGATTATTATAAAATAAATTTATTAATATTGATTTTGATATAATGGTTTTTTGAACCTTTATATAATTTAATTAAAAAATAATTTAGTTTTTTCTTTTAAAATATTAATTTTTTTTTTAATAATATTTAATGGCATAAATTATAAAATTAATTATCAAATATTTTATGTAATTTTAATATATTAAATTAGTACCTTTATTTATTTATAAAAAACAAATAAAGGTAAG